TATACTTTTTGTCCCTCGGCAGGCAATGGCAAACCTCCGAGTGTATTTCTGCCATGAAAAACAGCTTCTCACAAAAATACANAAATTACTAGTGAACCCGCATTGCCTTAAAATGCCCAAAATTTAATTTCACAAACTTAAAAAATATTCCAAATGTTAGTCAGAGTTAAAAGAGATAGGGCATGTTTTAGTTTCATCAAATTTCAAATCACCCTTTATCGATAAAAAAGTGCTTAACTAAAAAACAAAATAAAAACTTTACCATACATCTACAGGTAAGGTATTTAATTTGGCCTCTCATTTTTGAAATTCGTTTTCAAAAGTATTCCCAAACTAAAATCTTTTTAAATCTCTTTCGTCTGACATTGTGATACACATGTATTTCAATAAACTGAAGAGCTAATCTGAATTTGATTTTTCGAACATATCGCAACCCTCCTAAATAATTGAATAATTTGAATGTATCTTTTTAAACACCTAGCAACGCTCTTCAAACATTCCAAATGGTCAAACTAAAGATTTCCTAACATTCCTTCGTTTGACTACGGTATTTTTATATTTCATATACTTTTTGTCCCTCGGCAGGCAATGGCAAACCTCCGAGTGTATTTCTGCCATGAAAAACAGCTTCTCACAAAAATACAATTGCCGTTCGGAGTCGGCGTAAAACTGTAGGTCCCTCCGGTTTGTGTGACAACATCAAGGCGCACGCCACAAATCGGAGGAGAAGCTCGGCCAAACACTAACATATGTGTAAGCGCCAATCTATTATTATACTTTTTGTATTAGTTAATTGAGTAAGACCTTTCAAACTGGTGGCAGCCCTATTCAAAAGTGTTTTCTAGCTTTATCCTTGTTAACTCTCCTTCGCCTGACATCGCGATACATATTTTAATTAACTGATAAATTTAGTGGAATTTGATTTTTTTAAAGATGTGGCAGCCCCCTAAGTACAGTTCAGAAATAAAAGTATTTCAAACCCCCTTCGATTGATACCCATATTTTAGTAATTCATTACACTTATTAAATAATTTGTATTTAACTTCTTAAACAGGTGGCAATCCTTTTTCAACACCTGAAAAATATTCTTAGCGTTCAATCTAAAGACTTGTCAACACTCCTCGTTTGACATCCATATTTTGATGTCCCATATAACTTGTGTATAAGTAAACTAAATTCGATATTTCAAGCAGGTGGCAACCCTCTTCAAAATATTT